ATTGTAAGGGAAGGAACCTGTCTAGCTGGCTTTTACCGGTTTCATAGGCGTGTAATCGATTGCAAACAAAATGCCAACTAAAAATATGGTAAATTTGGGGCAGTGTTTGAAAAATAGCCAGTTTTTTCCAACGCTGGTCGGCCGACCAGTGTTGGAAATTGATACAAAAATACCACTTTTCTTGAAAATTATAGCACACCAGGTGCCACGATTTCACAGGATGCTTTTAAGACTGTCATTCACTAACAGTTCATTCAGGTACATGTACATGTACCGGTATTTCATGCTAATTTGGTAGTTTTGCTTTTTGATGTTTGCAAATGTTGTATATTCCCTTTAACTTAGTTTAAGTAACTTGATACAGCTATGTACCGGTAGGTATGCATTGACTCCGGGTGAGTGATAAAACAGCTGTGACCACAACTTGTCTGCTTTGTCTGTTGACCCAGTTTGACCGGGGTCTACCTGATGTTCCCCAATACCTACATGTATGTTCCCCAATACCGATGTTCCCCGAAATCCTTAGGATTAGGGTCAGGGTTAGGATTTCAGGGAACATCGGTATAGGGGAACATAGGTATGCACCCGTTTGACTAGACAAAGTACATGTACTTGCTTCAAGACATACATGACATACATGTACAGTTTATGATCTGACTGTTGGTGACTAGCCATTGTTAAAGTATAGCAGGGGAAGTGGGAGTGAATTTTGACTGTCCATGACTGCTTAAATAGCAGGAGGGTTAAGTACTTCATATACGTGTATGTACATGTATGTAACTAGATCTCTTTAACAACGAGCAAGCTTTGAAGGATATTATCTTTCAATATACTGTTTCAACTCTCAAAAGTACACTTTTAGCAGTTAAAAACTAAATGACACACAAGACCATAGAGTAACAGCTAACCCTTTCAACAAAAGCCTCTGACAAAATGTCAGAAAGTCCCGTCCATTGAAATGACCATGAGTATTCAAAACTGCATCTCAACAAACAAAATGGCAGAAAGTGTAAAAAATAAAAAAATCTCACAGTGCTGCTGCTGCAGTTGGGCATACCAGACATTTTTCCAGGGCATGCCTCACATTCTACTGGGCCTGGGATTTTTTAAATGTCACCCTAAGTGCATGGCAGACCCCTAGCGGCTAAGGATAGCTGTCTGTCCCCCCTAGCCTGTCCAGAGATAAATGCCAAAGATGCATGGATGTATGATAGGTGCCAGCAGTGCAGTGGATTTAGGGATGATGTCTGATCTGTTGATTTCTGAGAGAATGGTCAATGTCTGTGGAGGAAATCCCAGAGGTTTTTAAGATTTTATCTGTGTCTGGCAATTGTTTTAGGAACTTTGTGTTGAGATAACATGTTTTTTGTTGTTATCCAAATGTCAAGAGTGGAAAATGTATCAATTCTTTGGAGACCTGTCATATGGCACAGGCCTATATATTGGCATACATAAAATACACATTGGTATACTGGTACATTGTAATTTTTAAATCCTGCTTGTACATACATTGTATGTACATGTTAGCCGTGTACCTGTTTTCGAGGCGTCAAGTTTTCAAGGTTTGACATTGTACTAGCAACGCATGCGCGAAGATTCGTACCAAACAACCAGTTGATTTGTTGTGTGTGCGGTACGTGTTCCACCGCCAGCCCAAAAAATTGGAAACCGAAGGTTGTGTCCGTGTTTTTCTCTTGCTTGAAATAAATCTTTACACCCTCAAAAACCAGTACATCAAGGATAACTATGAATGATTGCCACTGTGAGACGTTTTGAAAGTGTGATTTTTTTTTCAGAGAATGATGACAATTATTTGCGTCTTACAGGCCATTGACTTTACAAGCAAAATGTGCAAATATTGAAGTGTTTTGGAGAGTGTAGCAAAGCAACATATTAGGCCCAACACAAATAGTTCTGCTTCCGATTACATGGCATTGTAGAATAGGGTAGGTACCGTAGGTAGGGAATTTTTTTTTTTTTTGGCCAATTTTGTTTGTGTACAATCTTGCATCTGCGTGTAGTTAACATTTTGAGGGTTTTGAGTGTTTTTCCCTCATTTTTCCCATAAAAAAAATTAGGGCAGGGGCTGTCAGAATAGAGTAGGTAGGGAAACCGGAAGCAGAACTATTTTTTTTGGTCTTATCCAGGTACAATATTAGCACTCAAGTACAAGATATAACAAAGGAGGGTATCATCCTTGAGAAGCTATTAAGATCTGATATTCAGATAATTCACACTAATCATCATCATCATGGCATCATTATCTTTTCATTTGAAGACATTAAAAGATGTCATCCACCAGTTCTCCGCTTCGTGACAACTGAATGACTCACGAAGTGTATCGCTCATGAAATTATACTCTTGATGCATACGTACTGCAGCATCTTAAAATCTCCTGCAAAACCAGACGTTGCGTTTAGTGGATTTGAGGCATAAGGGTTAATCTTTGTTGACAGAACATGGGCACTTAAAAAGTACCACGTACAGCATATTTACATGTGTAAGTATCTAACGAAAAAAAAGGAGAACATAAGCCGGTACTGCTACCATACACGTATGTACCATACATTACGGCACAAACATTTAAAGAGGTTGTGGAATGCTCGAAGACATTTCTGTCATTTTTCGGGTGTATGTAGCCTAAGGTGTGATTAAATAAAAACGACAATTGTGTCTGTAATGAAATGAGTACAAAAGGTACTTTTGAGAGCTGTTTTTCAGGTCCTGTTTCGACCCGAACGTGCAATTTGTGTAAAAGTCGTCATTGGGGGCAGCAAACAAAACATAGTAAATCGTGACGTAATCAACAGGACTCCCGATGCAGCGTAGTATAAACGAGTCCTGTTGATAACGTCACGATTTACTAGTCATTTTTATTTCATCACACCTTAGGCTACAAATACCCGAAAATTGACGGAAAAGTCTTCGAGCATTCCACAACCTCTTTAAATGTCGCTGCAATTGGATACCATGCAGTGATATTGAAAAGTCAAGGTCTGTTGCACTTTTACATCTGACACCAAATGCTCCCATCAAATCCTTTGTACGTCATCGTATTTCTGGCGTATAAACAGAGATCGTGTACATATGATCGCTACATTGTTGGGGGAAAAAAAATTACGGCTGCATTAAACCTGGATTATTGCCTGAGCTAATACTGCACAGCTGGGAGCAATTTGAAACGTTTACACAGCCTCCTGATATCAGAGACAAGTCATAAGAGTTGACATTATCATTCTCATTCAAGGTACTACTAAGCGGAAATAAAACAGTTAGCAGATTCTTGCGATTCAAGTATGAACCCTAACCTTCCCAAATCCTCTTTGATGCATTGGAGGATTTTTGCAGGATTGAGGCTATACAGGGTGTTTCAATAAAAAGGAAACCCAACTTTGAAGAACCAGTATGGACAGACTAAATGTTGACTGGCTATAAAACTGGTATCAACTGAAAGCGTAATCTCTATGCTTGTCAATTATACCTTGTTAACATTTCCAGGGTCATGCATCACTGAGTGCCACTGTCATGAGATTTTGATGCAAAATTGCAGTTGGTTCACTTTCATGTCAAACACAATAGGCATGGAGTGCATGATAATAAGAAGACACGAGTGCATGAAAAGAAACCCAAAAACAAGTCGGGTTGGTTTCAAAATTGGATTTTAATGTTTGTCATGAATTTCTCGTTTTGACCAAACCACGATCAAAACAATGTGCCATTTTCCCGAGGATTAACATTCAAGCCATTTCACAGACATTTCCGTAACAATAGGCACACCGTGCCCTGTGGTTTTTTTTATGAAAGTGAACCAACTGCATTTTTTAATCCAGTTTTCAAGACAATGATGCTCAGTGATGCATGACTCAGAAAACCTAAACACGGTATCATTAAAAAGCATAGAGATTACGCTTTCAGATGATACCAGTTTAATAGCCTGTAAACATATCGTCTGTCCATACTCATTCTTTGAAGTTGGGTTTCCTTTTTTTTTTAAACACACTGTACATGTACATGGCAAATATGTGTGGCTGATTTTGGAGGATGCACTGTGTCAAGGTCTTTGGAATTATTTTTCAGGTGCTGTAGCTTAAGTAAGGACGTCTTCAAATTTGTGCTAAATCTGTATGTATTCAACAAGCATTCGGAAGCCTGTGATGTGTTAACAGTACATGTACATGTAGAAATGTGCATGAACGGTGTAGTATCACATGTTTATTGTTCCAAAATAACCATTTGAAAAAATCAAGAAAGTCATAAATTGCAAACAATAATTGAATTGGTCATTTCCATAACATGTGGAATTTTATTTTTACTTTGAAATTCCCAACCATTTTTCGTACTTGGTTGGCATTTCCAAAGCCCAACAGTTTCACGGCGGCCGCTGATTGCAATCTCATTTACGAGGATGTTATCACTTATCAGCACACTGACGTTATTACTAACCTCTAAATAGGCAACTGTATGAGGTTTTATTACATGTAGGTATCCTGTGCCCTTGGGACATACAAAGTTGATTCCAATCTTAAGCCTTTTAACCCTAATCTCACCTAAAGTTACAAAATACTACTAGTAGTAAACTGTAGTATGCAGTACTTTAGCATATAAATGGGCACAGCACTCATAGTAGGCCCCCTACTGTACATCCCTAGCGTCTTTTACTAGGAACTGGACCAAGTCCATCAAAATCCATCAATCACTGTGCTTCCAATACAAAACTGTGCATGACATAATGGAATCCACCACTGACGCACTGGTTGACATTCATGGACTTGCTACACATGGCTTTTATCACAATAGCAGTACAGGAAGCTAGGCAAAATCAATCAGATACCCCTAGCACTGCTTCAGGCCCAAGTCTATCATACTCCATCAATATTTAGTCACGCCAGGCCTTCTGGATCAAGCCCCCCAAAATCCACCGAAAATGGGGGGATGGATTTTGATGGAGTTGGGGTGGTTTGGGACAACACAACATAGTGAAAAAGGAATGAGATACTTACAAATGAAATCACGGCTGCAAGAAGTAAGATTTTAACCAAGAGATCGTCAAATTGTTCTAGGACTAGCTGCCAAAGTGCTTTACCTGTAAATAAAAAGATGGAAAATCAGCAACGAGTCAATAATTTACCCAGACCCCTCAATCAATAGTCAAAATACCAGCAAATTACGATGAAAAGAATAGGGCTTTCTCAAATTCCCACACATCTCCTTCATGGGAGGAATTCCATACATGGACATCACTAAATTGTCCCCGCAGTGACCTATCATCCATCAGAAAGCGATAACATGTCCTAAAAAGTCAAATTTAGCGGGGACAACATTGAAGCATTTACTGAGAAAACACTTTGATTTTTTCAGACCAGTCTCATAGGGTTTGTGCACAGGGTGTCAAGTGATGCCCAGGTATGGAAGTCTTTCCAAATTCATTTTGTATCAACTTCAGGATCTCTCAAAGCATGTTAGGGTATGCCAACCACCAAAAACGTTCCACAAAAGTAAAGCCAACAACCTTTGCACTCAAACGACGTTGCAACATTTATAACAGAACGGAGCTCAATCCACCTTTCCCACGTGTTCAGGTTTTACAACAGTAAAAATATAAGACTTTAAAAAAAGCATTAACGATTTAAGTTTAATGTTTAAAATATTTTTCCTGTTTTACATTTTTATTTGATTCATTTGAAGACGCTAAATTGATAACAAATTTTAAGCAAACTTACCTTCTTCTGCTGGCAGCTCTGTTGGCGCATCAAGAAAACAATTAAGGAGTAAAAGAAACAGAAGCAAAGGTTAGAGGTCAATAGGTTTAAGACAAAGGCCTACATGTTTCAACATAAACCCTCCTATGCAAACACACATTCTGTGCCAAGTTGTCCTTTCAGTCATAATCAACCAAGTGACTGTTTTTAACAGTTAAGAACTCCCAGCCTACATAAAGCAGGATTGACTGGCTCCGACTGTTTATGTATTGAAAAGCCAGCTGTGCCCACAACTTGCCTGCTTTGACAGTGACTAGCCTGTGTTAAAACTATAGCAGGGGAAGTGGATGGACATTTTGACTGTCTGTGACTGTTTAAATAGTATGAGAGTTAAGCCAAATTAACAAATGATTGGAAATATCTAAAACTTCTGTTTAGAAAAGACTCCACACAGACTTTCAAGAATACACAACATACAGGGGTTTTACCACAGTCACAAAATTGGGGTTCAAAGTATAACAAGATGTTGCAAGAATCATCAAATTACAAGGTACCTTGTTAGACTGGAGAACCAAGCCTATGAATAATATGAGCAAGTAATGACTGCAACTTGCTAATTTAACCCGTAACCTTCCCAAAATCCTCTTTGCAAAATGGAGGATGTTGCAGGATTGAGGCTACATGGCAAAAGTATGTTGCTGATTTTGGAGGATGCACTGTGTCAAGGGCTTGGGCCAGACCTTGTGTTGTTTATGCTCAGCCGTGCATGAATTTAAGCCTAGATTATACTTGAAATCCTCCGCACTGCTCCAGTATGTCACTGGCTCTGCCTCAACATATTGACAGTGATTGCTGGAGGATTTTTGCAGGATTGAGGCAGTGGTCACCCTCCAAGGACCACATTCAAGAAATAACGGAGGATTTTGGAGGATTGAGGGATTTTTACAAAGAAGCAGTTGGAGGATTTTGCAGGATTGTGGTTGCATCCTAGCAAAAATGCCTAGGGAGTTAATGTAGGGTTTATCACTGTAATGATTCAGTAAGAAATCTCAGTATAATTTATGACATGTATGAGGAAAAATAGCTCATGAACTAATTTGTAAACGTGCACATAAACTATCATGAGAAGAACCTACCATTTGGGCCGTATTTTTCCTGGGCAACCTTGACTTGTGCTTGAGACAATCCCTGAGATTCCTTGACGTTGAAAAACTGCAGCGTTTCCGCTACACCTTTTGCCTGTGCCAACTCCATGATTTAGACCTCTCTCTATATTTGTATAAATTACATGTACCAGTGGTTGTCCCTGCAAGCAGAACGATGAAAGGAGAATAATTAATAATGTAATATTTCCATTAAAAATTGTTAGTCCTATATAGGGCCTAGAATGAAAATGTACAACTTCAGATTGTGTAATTCTTTGTACACATCCATGACTACGTGTATGTCTAATCTCAAACATGTGGCTTCAACAATACTTCACTCGACGATTGTGTCGTTAGGGGCCTGGTTCCCTAAAACAGAGCAAAATCCACTTTTAATTTATTTGAATATGCCTACAAAACTAGTTGGCAACATTAAGAACATGCAGTTAGGAAAGAATGTTGCAACCTGACGCTGCCTTTTTCTTCAAATATCATCTCAATGAAGGTTAATCATTGCAAAAATGATGATAAGACATGAATCTGGGACTGAGAAACATTTCCAATTTTGCTAGGAAATACTTAGAACATTTTCTTGACTCTCCATAGACTTTGTACACAACTGCTGAAGTAGCGTCCGGTTGCACTTGCAGCATTCTTTCCTGCAGTTATGTCAGGGGCAGGGTTTTAGAATTTTTGAAGGAAACTTGGGGGTAAAATGACGATGACAACGACAAAACACACCACGAAAATAAAGATGGTGATTGCCGCGATGTACCATGAACGCACAAGGCGTGCTGAATCTCACAACGCCAACTGTAAACAGGGGTGTGAGTGACCCCTGATAAAAATAGCTGAAAATAGCTGAAAACAGCTGGAAAAGGTGTAAAAAAGCCAAACTTTGGAAATCTCCTATACTTTTGTACACAGCAAGTGAGGGAAAAAAGCTGAAATCCAAGACAAAAAAAGCTGAAATCAGCTATAATTTAAAGCTGAGATTTCACACCCCTGTGTAAACCGCGTACAAAAATCACAATTTCTACCCCAAAAAACTGTTCAAAATTACAAAAAAAGATGTCAGATAAGTCTACTTTAGGTTGTTAGAAATGTTACTAAATCATTAACTTTTAAGTATACTATAGTTGAAAAGGTCATTTTTTAATAATAACAAATATCAAAACTGTACAAAAGACAAGACAAGAGAAGAGGGGCCTGCCCTGTATACAATCACCCTTCACTCTTGTCTCTCGACTTTGTCTTGGAGACTTTCTTTGTCAAAACAATTGTTCAGCACACATGGTTGATTGTGTAACACCGATTCAGCATGTTCAGTGTATGCACAAATGATACTGCAATTTCGTAAGCGTACTGTACACAGCGAATGAGGATTAACGTGCATGAATGGGCGCTCACCATACACACACACCACACACACAGTACAGAACTGCGTGTACCGTCGATATGGCCACGTAATCGTAATGCACGTTCCGAGTTTAAAACATGCCGGTAAATTTTGGTGGCAATAAATCCCTATCTACGCTTGACTGAAATAAATAACAAACCTTCAGTCAGACTTGTATGACTGCCCTCCACACGAACCCGTCTTTCCAATCAACCCTGTCTCGATGAAGAAGAAAAATGGGCTCAAAATCAATCTCCTAGTTGGTGCATTTCGACGCCACGCACATGTGTACAAGCAGCAAACCGAACGTACGTACTACTGAATGAGTTATATCCCAGCATGCAACGCTGCACTGCCCGACATTTTTAGTGTGGCTTTTTCTGATTGGCCAACGTATTGCGTGAGCATCTCATTATCTCTTTTGACCAATAAAAAAAGGTCATAGTTCCTAGTCAATGACGTCAATGAAAATTCGGCGTGCGCGTGTGGTGTGATGTGAGGGATATCCTCGTAGTGACGCGAACTTTGCCTGTGATATTAATGTTATGTGGTCCGGTCATGAGCATTTACAGTTATAGAATCAGAACAGGTTGGCATAATTATTTTTCATAAATTACACAGACTCTCGAGCGCCACTGATTATAACAGTGGTTATAAAATCACGTCGGTGAAGGGCAAAGCGATTTAAATTTAGGGCCTACATAGAACATCTCAATATTATTATAAAAAGACAATGTGCATAATACCCATAGAGCAAGGCCTAGGTCTAATTGTTTTATTTTTTCCCCTAACTGTGAACTCGAATAGTTCATACTTACAGACTATGTCGACGACCGCTTTTCCGCAGTTCTGAAAGGTAATCATTGAGTTAAAGCTTAATTTGAGGAGTCTGTTTCCGATTGGCGACGTGTCCTTAGTGTAGCGGGTCCCTATCTATTTTTAATCATGGCGTCATAACTGAACCGCTTTGACATTTTATTGTCAACTTTCGAAACATAAACAGTCATCTCTCCATGAGTCAGTGACTTAGTGCTGGAGAAATCTGGGGAATTCTTTCATCATTTGCGGGGTTGTCCTTTTGCAAAAAAAAAGTGGTCTTTGGAGATCTGTAAATCTAGCTTTACTTTTGTGGAATACTCTCCGTATTCTCAGCAAGGGCAACACGGATTGGAGGAGAGAGAAAAACGGCACTCGATCTGATTTTGAACGTCCAGGCCGGGACAATCGTACCGTCGTTTTTCCATGAGACGTCCCCCTATTTCTTCAACCCCTTCCTAATAAAATGTGTTGCATTTTCATCCTTTAAATTGGTAAAAAAAAAAAAAATTAAAAGGTGCAGTGCGCTTTCACCGATGACAATAATGCATGCGGCCATTTCATCGCAAGAGGGCGCTAGAGTAACGCAAATGGCAGGGTCGTGGCGAATTTAGGTCGCTAATTGTTTCATATAACACGTCATTTTTTTAGAACAAAAATTGTTTGAAAAAATAACTGCGATAATAGACCAATGTTTTGTACTTTTTAGGTGTTGTAAATGTCATCAGGAATGAATGATTATGAATGACAGTTCAGGCCTCACGTTTACAATCTTGATGAAAAGTTTGAAGAAACAACTCAAAGAACAAGAACTTGACTATGCTTCTGATCTTTATATTTATTAATTAATTTGATACTTACAAGCAGACTTAATGTTTTACAACAATAATTATACATTAAATACCCAATCTTTAAATTGTATAGTTTACAATACTACAATGCTTCCGTACATTACATCGAGTAAACTTAAACTCACAGTATATGTATAAAGCAAGTGTAATGTTGCTGATGTTGAGTTTAAACTTGCTCCTACTTTTCTTCTATTTTGGACGTTTGCAACACTCTAAAATAGTGTTATTTAATCAACACCGAAATGGTTTAATTCGGGAAAAGTGCATGACCTACTGGTCATTATTAGCGCTGGTCAGATTGTTATCGTTTTCCTTAATTAATTGGGTTGAGATAACAGCTAAAGGCGACGTAGAAGCCGTTGATTTAAATGATTCACAGTAAATTTTATTTAGATCGAAAAAGAATTGAACTTAACTTTAATAATTAGGTTTTCTGATATGATTTTCGTCGCAGTTCGAACGTCACTTGCAATTTACAGCCACTGATAGGCCTACTGATTTTCTTGCAACTAGGCTAGCGTATTTTTTTGCTTATTATTGTAAGCACTAATACATTTAAGATATTGCACATGCAAATTATGGTCCAATTCCTTGTATCCAACCCACAGCCGCCATAGAACTACTTACGTTTTAAATGTCATAACAGTATAGTAAAACTTTGCTATCTATGCATGGTTTGACAGGTGATTTTTCATATTATTATACAATGTTCAAGCTGGAATGAACTACTGACGATGTAATGTGTGTGACAGTTATACAAATATTTATGTATATATATAATATAGAATTGTATTAATATTACAGTTTTGAATATATCAATTTACATATCAATAGTTCGTTTGAAGTATTAATCCATTCGACTACGGTTCCCATCCCAGTCAGTGTGTTTCTCGCCTTTAACCCACGCTTACATTAAATATTTAAATATCTTTTTTTAAATCATATTTCTATAAAATAACTATAGTGAATTCCTTTTGCTTATATTTCCTTAAGGAAGAATTTCCTTAAGGAAGAATTTCCATTAGGAATAAAAGTTTCCTTAAGGAATCATTTCTTAAGGAATATAAGCAAAACGATACCCACATTGCACCATAACATTTTTAGGGTGTATAATAAGGTGGGTGTCGTCTCAAATGATTTCTTCCAATCGAGTATTAAACTACTGTATTATTTTTTTTCAAACTTTATTCGCAGATATCTAGGCCCATTTTCATGGCGATGTTCAAGTCAGAGAAATATGTGAGCGGCAGAAATGTTTCACCTCAACATTATGGTACTTTGGCAATATCATGACTCATAAGAAGTTGTGATTTTATTGTGTGTTATGCGACAACATAATTATATTGTCAGGCCACAAATAATTCGAAATTTGAACAATAAATATTCCATGTAACTGACAACCGAACTTCTCGGTTGGTACTACAACCTTTGTATTGCTAGAAAACAAAATGCAATTAAAAAATTAAATTTATTTTCAGGTTCAAACTCAAAAATAGAGATACTTTAACTTGAGCACCGAAATCAAGCTCTGATGGTGTTTCTGATCATCAGCAGAGTGGGGGTTCGAGTCCCGGTCTTGTGTCCCTAAGCAATACACATAACCATTATTGCTTCGTCCTTCGGATGGGACGTACAGCCGTAGGCCCCGTGTGTTGTGTATAATTATGCACGTTAAAGAACACAGTAACACCTATCGCTATTAAAGAGAAAGGGGTTAAATATGTTTCTGGCAGTGTGCTACTTAATGCGCCGCACCTTATAAACCCTTATTAGGTGCTACATGCTACATAAAATGGGTCTCATATTGCAACTACTTTATTAACCTGTCTTTATAATAAATTCAAATTAATTAGCGCCTTGAGTACCTAATTGTTGGTATATACGTGCACTATACTCCAGTATTATTATTTATTATTAATGAAACAAGTTGCAAAACGCAAAAACTCAGTCGAGCGAGAATAAGCCATCAAATGGGGCCAAAATCAGTGTTTCAAATTTACCCATCAACCCACGCTACACTCTAAAAACAGACTGGTTTACACAACCAATCATTGGTTATAATAACTATGATAACTGTTTAATATGTGTCCAACCAATCAATGGGTTGGACACATGTGAACCAATTGTTGGTTATTTCCCAATGATTTAGTATGTTAACCAATGTTATTTTTATTTATATGAGGCGTTTATCTAGCGAGGGTATCTCCAAAGGCGTTTTCGTTTTTCGGTTTCTCCCAACACTCTGTTCAAATTTACAGTCTTCTTCAAGACATCCAAATCATTCTCCTCGTCGTCAAACCACAGAGATGATCGCTATCAGGACCACCAGAGCTAAGACTCCGATCAAGACGCCGATCAGTATTTGCTTCTGCAAAGGAGGAAAGTATTTGACAGACGGAGAGAGGGAACCCAGAACAAACGGGGAGGGGAAGAGGGTAATAGAGGGGAGGAGGAAAGTTGGGAGAGAGGAAGATGTTTAGAAGAAATGTCAGTTATGGAAATGGTTAGTACATGTTAGTAGATTAGTAAAGAGTATGAAAAATGAGACATGTTTCTTTTTGGCCGTTGTGGGAATTAAAATACTGCCATGCATTGCAATACTCTCTAAATGTAAAAGAGCGAACAACCACTCCAGTCATAACGAGGGGCAACTCTCTTTGAGTATTTTTCACTTTTAGAATGAAGTTTGCATTGAAAAAAAAAATCATAGTGAAAACCACTCTAAAAGAGTTAAACAACTCCCACTCTTTTTAAAGCTAAAGAGCCACATGGGGAACAACTTCGAGTGGTTTTTCACTCTTTTACATTTGTAGAGTACGCTTTAAGTCCCGTTTGTCAAATGCGACATATTCTGGTAACATTATAACGTAGTTGCTTGCCACACAACACCGATCACAATGTAGTTTTGTTTTACAGCTATTTTGACGGGGAATGTTTTAATGTAAAAAGCCATACGGTACAGTTGGGCTGTCAACAGAGGGCGCTTGCATTATTCAACAGCTGAGCCGAGTTATAATAATACGGCTGTTTTATGCGGTTTCAACAGAAGAATCCATTCTTGGTTTGGGTATTAATAAAAAAGACTTTACCCAAACCAAACAACGCCCTCTTATCAGCGGCGGAACTAGGATTAAATCTCTAAGGGGCACCTGAGGGTGCACCAAATTTTTCAAGGGGGTCACTGAATGAAGACAACTGATATTTTTGGTGTGTGCAATTCAAACTTTTAAAAGGGGGTAGCCCCCCCCCCCCCCCGGACATCGTTGTTACGTCACAGCCTGCTTTTATTATTGTGTCGGCCATATCTGAAATACGCTATCGTTTTCTTTGTACTGAAAAGCTGTAAAACCATTGATTTTAGGGCAGTGTATATAAATATGAAGTGACAAAAAAAGACAAAATGACGTCTCTACGTGCATACCTATTTATTCACAGTCATCGTCATCATTTTCCATCCGTGAACCACAAAAATTTCATAAACGATGACGTCTTTATATTCAATTTACAAGTACTGTTCATTTAATCGTGGAATGGACACAAATTATTTTCTAGACTTTTGGGTAAATAATGGGATACGTTGGGAAGGAATGAATGGAATCAAAAAGTCAGGACACAATATAGCTAAGCTGTGGAAATACTTTCGTTTCCTTTTTAGACTTTTCAGTG